TTATATTCAACAAAATTCAATAAATAAAAATACCTAAAATATCCTTGTTATACTCGTTTATTATTAATACCATTGGTTATCAAGGACTATAATATATATATATATATATATATATATTATATTTCTTTTCTATCCTCTTTGTCCTTTACAATAAACTTAATCTTAAAAGAAAAACAATATTTATTAGAAATATTAGTAAAGAATTGAAGACTTAAAACTGACAATATCACCTAATCATAGGTTGAAGCGACCCATTAAATAAATATTGTTGTTGAGTTTTGATGTAATCAACTAATGGAAATTAACTAAAATAAAAGTCGAAACTCTTTTGAGTTTTTGAAAGAAATATACTACTAATTGATATAAACCTATAAAGAGGATGATGAATGAAATCAACCCAAATGTTGAGAAAAATACTTTGCTGCTATTTCCAACAAAATAACCCCAAAAGGATAACCTAATCTGGACATCAAAATGATCAACTTGTCGAATCTGTACATATGTTAGAAAGGAAGGAACTCATTGCAACGTTTCGCAAGAAAAAGGAAGAGATGCATCCGTAAGGGATCACGATTTCTTACAGTATAAGGGCGGATTCCATCATATCCGAGAGCTATGTCAGCCACCTTCCCTGTCACGTAGAAGCAAAACATGGTAACCGACGTGCATTATTGCTACAGAAGAACACAACAGTAATATCTGAAATCCTCAACCTTTGGAGTCAGGGAGAACGACCGAGGTAATCGTCGCACCCCAGTTGGTGACTTTGACGGAGAACTCCCCTCTTCTGAGCTCATAAATCCCGACCCTCTTCGTCGGCGCGCCAGAAGAAACGCCTGCGGTGGCCAGAAGCAGAAGAGAGAGGAAGAAAAAGAGCACCGAGATCCTCGCCATGGCTGGTCTTGGCGGAAAGAAGAGAGATGAGGAAGAGGAGGGAGAGAGGTGATAGTATGTTTTTTTGTGTCGATCAGATATGGTATTTAACGTGCTGCGGCGACAATAGAAGAGACAGATTTGGCTTGTTTGGATAGGATGGAATTCCACCGAATCTTTCCTTGATTCATGGCGGCAGGTTTGTTCTTATCCAAGTGGTGGTATATTGGATATAATTTAGGATTCTTTGGGATGGTATTGATATGCAAATGGGAGCCGTTGGTCTTCTTCATGCATTGAATTTTATGAGGAGATAAATAGAGGAAGTAACAACATTCCTAAACAAAAGAATTAATTTCCCTAGTCTATACAAATATCCCTGGATCAACCATCGAAAAAGTATATAGTTAATAACATCCTTAATGAAAATATCGCCAATATTCACCATTAAGGAATTTTTTTTTCCAAAATAAAAAAAAGCAACTAGATTTCCTAAAAGAGTACATAATATTTTTGTGCTATAGCATTTTTCCGTTGAAAACACTATAGTCCTATAATATTTTCAAAATATATATTTTCTTAAATGTTCTCTATTAAACATTCAAATAATTTTATCTTCTATATAAGCTAGAGTGTTTTTTTTATAATATGGTTATTTTCAAAATCACTGTAGCTATATTATAAAACACTCTAATAGAGGGAAATGGACTTAGAAAATACTTTTGAACATTTTTTATGCATTCATATAAAAATTAGTTGAAAAATACTTATGATTCCTATACTAGGGGTATGAATCAAACCTAAAAAATGCTCAGTTATAGTAATTTTTTTTTTACTAAGTTATAATTTTTTTAATAATATCAAGAAAAAACTATAATGCAGTAGAAAATCACTATAACTGGGGTAGGAAAAGAGATGAAAAGGGAGGAAAAAGGATAGGTGTTTGGTGACCAGATAGATCAAAGGTATATTCAAATTTAGGTAAAGGACATGATTAGGAAAATCTGAAAAGGAAGTATCTTTTGGAAAAAAAAAAAACCTAAACATAGGAGATTTTTTTTTGAGAAATTATCCAACAATATTTGAATTTTAGTAAGAACATTAATGTTTTTTCCTCTACAAGCATGTGCGGAAAATTTAATATTTTATAAAATTATCCATATTTTAAAGTTTTCAAATATATTATGTCTATAATAAAAATATTAATATTAAAATTATCCGTAGAAGTAATTATAATTTTATTTTAAATCATCACGTTTCAACACCTGTCGATATGTCCGAGTGGTTAAGGAGACAGACTTGAAATCTGTTGGGCTTCGCCCGCGCAGGTTCGAACCCTGCTGTCGACGAACTAACTTTTTTTATATAATTTTTTAATTTTTTAATTTTTGAATTTTCTCTTTTAAGCGTTACCTTCCCAACTCGAACCACTCATTTTCTCCCTCTGTATTCTGTTGCACCATTGCCGTCATTCTGCGCCCCCGCTCTGTCTCTGGTCGGCGCCATGGACGCGGGAGAGGTCGCCACCTTGCCGGCTTCGGTGGAGAGCCTGGTGGTGGTGCACAACGTGGCGAAGCGCCACAACGTGGGGACGATGGCCCGCAGCGCCACCGCTTTCGGCGTGTCGGAGATCGTCCTCGTCGGCCGCCGCGACTTCAACGCCTTCGGCAGCCACGGATCCACCTCCCACCTCCGCTTCCGCCACTTCCACTCCCTCTCCCAAGCTCGCCACTACCTCAAGGCACTCTCTCATAAACCCTCCTCCCAATCTAGGGTTTCCATTTCGCGTTAATCTGGTCCTCTTCATCCACTTCTCTTCCTACTTTTAGGAAGAGAGGAACTGTGACATATGCGGGGTGGAGATCACCGATGGGGCGCTCTCCATCGCGGATCACCCTTTCAGGAAGAGCACAGCTTTTCTCCTCGGCAACGAGGTCTGCTCCGCTTGCATTGAAGTTTTTGCTCCTTATTCTTTTTCTTATGATTATGAACATTTTTTGGAATTTCTTCTTATCGTGATGAAGGGAACGGGGCTCTCCGCGAAGGAGTGTGAGATATGTGACTTCTTTGTTTACATTCCCCAATACGGATGTGGAACTGCATCACTTAATGTCACAGTTGCGGCTTCTATTGTACTGCATCACTTCGGAGGTAATTTTGATTTCCTTCTGCTATCCAGAAGCCATTTCTTTTCTCTGTATTGATCTCATTTTTTTTAATTCAAGAACTGCTGTCTGTTGCTTTAAATAAGAGCGTTATATAATTGATGTACTGTTTTATGGTGTATTTTTATGCAACAATTAGAAATTTACTATTAAGTAAATTTAATAGCTAAATACAAATGTCACAAGCTTTAACCTACTAATTTAATAGCTATGAAGGATGTGCACTTTCTAGTGTACTTGAGAGTTGTTGAAGTTATTGAGAAACCAGTTGCAAGTATGTATGCTAAAATGTGATTTGACTAGAACTTGAAACTGCTGTACAAGGTCTGTCCCATGGTTGTCCATGCAGAAAATTGGCAGTTTGTCTGTTTGTTTATTCATTCAAAATGTGAAGCTTTAATTGTAAGGAGAAGTGCCTGGACCTTCCATCTTCTCTCCACTTTGCTTTCCTAGATGACATTTAAGATGCAGGTCTTTGTGCATACACTGGATTTTGGAATTGCAATTCGACTTTATATCTCTAGGTTCTCTATGATAACTTCAAAACTTTTTTGGATGCACATTGTTGTTTGCTTTTATTAGATTAAACCTAGAAGCAACCACTATAGATTATTTGAGAACTTTTTTTTTATTCTTCTTGATGATCAAATAGGTCCATGGCGTCTATTCATAGATATTTGTAACCATATCTTTCTGCTCTCTGCCATTCAAATTATTATTTACTCTGCTATGAATACAAAGCGTAGTAGTTGTTGAGCATCTAATTGTTATGGGAATTTGTATGTTGATGGGATTTTGATTGAAGGCCTTTAGCAACCAAGCCATTGCATTCAGTGTTTTCAAAAGGTGCTCAGATGAGGCGAGGTGAGGCGAGACACGAGCACCTAGTAACATGACGGGGCGAGACGTTTCAATAAAGTGCCACTCGGCGCGCGCTAGAGCTTAGGTGCTGGGCAACTTGAGTGTGCGCCCAAGCCAAACTGGTCGTGGCTCAGCCTAGGTTCGAGTCTAGGTGACTAAGTTGGTTTAACCGAACCAACTAATGCCACTTACCCCCCAACCCAGTGAAAGCAACAAGCGAAACCCTATGCTTCATCCGCTGCCATTGGCAACTTCATCCACCGCCATTTGCAGCTTCGTCTGCTACCATTTTCCACCTTCCCCCACCTTCCTCCACAGCCTTGCACCGGTTACTTCTCCATCTCCTCTCTTTCTTATTTTATAGGTAATAACCTTTTACACTGTTAAGAAGAATGTACCTTTTCGTCACTCATACAAGTTAAGCACTAGAAGTGTAGTGATAAATGATGTTACATCAAAATGTCAAGGTTTTATTCCAAAAGTCAAGAAAAGAAGAAAATAAAAGGGATCTACCATGCTGTCTTTTATCTGTCTTTTTAGAACTTTAATTAGGAATTTTAACCTCAGTCACTTGATGGTTTGAAGAAAAGGGAACATTTGAACAGCCATGCAGCTTATTTGGCTGGTATAAAAAGACAACCAGATCCAGTATGGTCTCCATGTTTATTAATCTTCATAAAAGAACTACAGTGATAGCGTTTCTATGGCCTGTGTCCATCACCTCTTCTAGAAAATACACACACATTATGTATAAGTAAGCTTATGAGAGCTGTTCGGTAGGCATAATTGCAAGAGATATAATTTGGTAATTTATATGATTCCAATTTGATGTGTCATTTTTATTTTTATGATCATATTTAATTATTTGTCAATCGTAATATATATTTTTTAAATTTTAATATTCGGGAGCATCTTGCTTTGCTCAGGCGGGCATCTCCTTGGATGTTTTGGAACCTTGGCGCCATTTGGTGCATAGCACTTTTAAAACTACTGATTGCATCTGGTTAACCAATTCCGGACTGAACATTTGCTCTACACATATTTCAACTGTAAATTGTATATATGTCCATACAGATTAGGACAGGTTTCCACTAAAATGGTTGCTGACAATAAGAACTTCTCTATAGTTGTTAAACACCATCAGTGAATGCACTGACAAAAATGATTTGAAGGAGTTCACAGTATTTCACTAGTATAAAAGAATAAAATAGGAAGTAGTCCTAAACTGTACCTTAAGTTGCGAGCAAATAGAAAAAAACTATATCCTCAATCACATAACCCACCACGTAGTATAACTTATATTCATGGTACACTTTTTTGATTATGGAAAATATTAAATGGATGTGCAAAATGCAGATCTGTTAACTATTGAAAATTATTCAAAATTATATCATGAGAAATTAAAGAAGATTTCAGGGAACAAGCAAACAAGCTTAGTTCTGTTGTGTTTATGTGAGCTCCAGACAAGCCGTTACAGGGGCAACATAGATTAGTTATAATTTGAGTTTACCCTGCCTCAAACGACAAGAATGTGCTTATTGACAACTTGACCAAGATGAGGGAGTTGGTATACTCGGGGGCTCGGGGCACATCGTCGGCTCATCCGAGTCAAGATAGATCCTGAGAAGACGAAATCTGTAAGGGAATGATCACAGGTATAGAAAGAGATAGTAAAAAACCACTAGAGACTCACCCCTATAATATTTGATTGATGTCGGCACGCCGAAGTAATAAGCTAACGCACCTGGCCAGAACAGAAAATCATTCCAGTTGTGAGAAAGCAGGAGTCAGAAAGAAAATAAGAAAAATGAGGCAGTGGATATATCCTTCCTGTCCTAGTGGTATGGTTAAAATAAACTTCTTCCTCTGAGGAGAACTCCAAGACTTATTTGCCTAGTTGGTCTAGGGAGAAAAAGTAAATCAATTTGGCTTTCTCATGGTCTTTGGTTTGTATGTACCAATGGTTAATGAGTCATGGACTATTACTTATATATAGTAATTAGTCAAGTAATAGAATGGATTCTTTTGTTCCTAAAGAACTTATAACATTCATTGCTCAAATATTGTAAGGTGATTTCACGACATGCAAGGAAATTATATGTTAAAGGCATCAAAGAAACTATTGACACCAAAAGATGCTATATTAAGCAATGATCCTGATAAGGATCATATTACAATTTTGTTTGAAGATTAATCTCTAGGGATGGAACCCTATGGAATTGTAAACAACTTACATTTTTAAAACATATGATACTAGATAACTGTAAAATTCTCTTTACACTATAATGGATGTTTCAAAATATGTTGTCTTCAGGTAGAAACCATATTATGGAATATTTAATGATATTTGGAATACAGAAGTTGTGGTAAAAGTTTGGAAGTTAAATTTGATTTTTACGATGCCATTCAATATAGATCTCTACCAATAGGCCTCCAGAAAACAATGATTTAAAAAGCGCTAGGCGCCAAAGTCCAAAAATGCCCAAGGCGCTCGCCCGAACAAAGCAAGACGCTAAAATATAAAAATATATAATATAATTAATAAATATAATTATTTAAAAATTTAAATAAAAATATGCTATTAAATTAAGAAAATCTAAGATACAAAATCATAATGTCACATTAACAAAAAGTTTCAAATAAATAAAAATTAACAGTATTAAAATCAAAATAATATATTATTAATCTATTAACAAGATTGAAAATTAATCATTTCAAATAAATTTAATAATATTAACAGTATACAGTATACGTATACTGTTAAAAGGAAGTGTAAAAGGGTGCTGAGCCTGCTGACTAAGAAAAGAGGAAGCGACAGCGGCGAGCAGCGGGAGCGGGAGCGGCGAGTGGTGACAGCGGTAGCGTTTGCGAGCAGCGACAGCAGGAGCAGGAGCGGCAAGCAGCGGGAGGCGTGAGCGGCGACAGCGGGAGCGTTTGCGAGCAGCGACAGCGGCGAGCAGCGGGATCGGGATCGGCAGCGGCGAGGGTTAGGGTTCGGTTGTCACTTATATCAGTTTTAGTTGGTTCGATTGAACCAACTAACCATCATAGATCAAACCAGACCTAAAATCCTGGTTCGGTCGCCTTGGTTAACCCGGGCGCTCGCCCGAAGCGCCCAACGCCTGGGCTCGGGCGAGCGCCCAGGCGGCGCCTATTTGAAGCGCGTCGCCTGGGAGATTAGCGAGGCGCTCGGGCCTCGCCTCGCCTCTCCCGAGCGCCTAAGCGAGCGCCCGAGCGCCTTTTAAAATCGCTGCCAGAAAATTCTATGAGAAAGAATAATATGAGATATTATCACTACTAGTTGGACTAGTTTTATTTTCCTCAATAGAGTTTGATGGCAGAGAATTGATCCATGATGCCAACTTTTACTAATGCATTTAATATGTTTAGGAGGTTTAATGCCTATTTGGGAAAGCTTCTGGTGGACTGGAAACAGATCTACATGTAGACCTCTAGAATTGCAAATATATAATTTCCTTGCTCTTATGTTGCAGATGCACACCTTGGATCTTTGTATGTGAGCAAATATCTTTCAGTTTTGTGCATGCAAATATGAAGATTTACCATGAATACAAGCAATGGTCCTATACTCAAGATTTTTTGCTAATTTTTGCAGCATTTACACAGTTTTTTTTCTTTATGCTGTTTATGGTTTTTTATTGGGTGATAGATTGATTTTTTCATTGTATTATATGTGAAATTAATTTACTTTGCATTTTGCAGCTTTGGTGCTTTAACTTTTTCTCTTAGAATTCTTGTTTTCCTTCTCCCATTTGTTCTGTTGAACTGGTTTCTTTATGATATCTGCTCAATTTAACTCACTTTACAGTGGCACTGCTCTAATAGAGTAACCGATTCAGTAAAAGGGCTGCACTTACAAAGTTGACAATCAAACAAACTTCTCATGGCTAGTTGATTGTTGGCAATGTTGTGTATCAATGGCAACTAAACATCTGTCAAGGAAAGCTATCCTAGCACTAAAAGATTTCAGAGATCTGTTGTTTAAGGTTAGAGGAATACTTCTCTATATGAAGTAGAGGACAGGTTGTAGTGGTATGCTAAGAGCTAGGGAATTTATATTCTCTTGATCTTTACAAATTCTTGAGTTGTTATCAATCTGTTTCTGGGAAAAATGTCAGTGATATGCCCTGGAATTCATTGCCAAACTTTGCACACTCAACGTGCGTTATGACACTCTTGCCTTTGCGTCTTTAGCATCTTGTTTGATGACTAACATTTTCTTTTTGATGGGTTTTAAGATCAGTGAATTCTGCAATTTTAAATAATTTGAACTCTATGATACTTGGTCATGCTGCAATGTAGTGATGTTCATTCCTTTTCTGTTTCCGCTCTCTTACGCTCTCATCTCCTTTCTATGGGATCCCTCCAGTTTGGGCAGGTTTTCCTGAAAGAAGTAGAGAGGGCAACAAGTTCACCGTAGCTGAGAAACCCGTCAAGCAGATTAGGAGGAATTATTGTGCCAGTTCGGTTGAATCCATTGTGGAGGAGCGGAAGAGCAGAAAGCAATCAGCTTCTATAGATATCTTTGAGGAGAACGGGACCAATGATTCCAAGTTGACAAACCTTTTGGAAGCCCTGTTTGATGATTGAGTGCAGTGTATGACCATCTGAGAGGAAAGATAGATGGTCATCTCGGGGAAGCTACATACATATACACTAGTAACCTAAACTTAGGTCAGGCAGCTTCTTTTATTTTTATTTTTTATTTTTATTTTTGATGTGTTTGCTAGTTTGTATAAGTACGTTACAGTTTTTATGACTTACACATTTATTAGTTGATTTTGAATTATGCATGACTTTGAATTCCCGTATATACCGTGTTTAATGTGGTCGAAACCCTAAACATTCAACTGAATGAATGTTGTAACCGAGTTCGTCTTCATTTCTTTGAGAGTCTGCGTCAGAAATTAGTTGACTTGCATCCTTTAGAAGTGACGCTACACAACTTTTCCTTTCACAACGTAATCTTGTTCTTAGCAACACTGATATTTGCTCTAAAGAACACATCTAAGATCTTTATTTATTACCTACATCATTTCCATGTCTTATTTAAATGTCATATACTTAATTATTTTACGTATCTTTCATGTGACTAACTGGCTCATCAACTTGATGTCCTTCAGCAGGAGCAGCAGCAGCAAATGTTCTCTCTTTTTTGCGTTGGAGTAGAACATATTTATATACACCACACACCTCATGGTCTGCACTTTCACTGATCTGTCGCCAATGGCAGTAAAAGGAGAAGTAATTCCATGTCTCAAACTGGTGAAAGAATGCTTCTCTTTACGTTGTTTCTCACTCAAAATGCTTGCTAACAGGACAAGATCATGCATCCAGCTAAGAACTAGAAACAAAGATTATTTTAGAACGGGAAAGCAGTAACCCATGAATCCAAGAGTACCTTCCCTATGGCCGTTCCATCTACATGTTCATACATAGCAACATCAATTTGAATCTTTTCGCTACTTGTTGTGTTTTTTTTTTTTGCTGATAAGGACATGAATCAAACAGTCAAAGCAGTCAAGTCCTTGTTGATAATTAGAAATAGACCTCGGTCTTAGCTGTTACTTGTTTTCTCTGTTGTGAGTACTGAGACTGCTGTCCTCCTATCACTTGCCTTTCGGTGGCATGCGCCGCAAAAATGACTGACGACACAACCGATAACAACTCCCCTCTTTCCCGTTGGCGATCCATATCTTCTATACGAAGATGATGGGAGAGAACACTCACAGAAAGAGAGAGAGAGAGAGAGAGAGAGAGAGATGGTTAGAAAGAACAGCTTGACTGACGAGAATTTGCAGTCGGGGAAGCCCCGTCCACCTCGAATGATATGCTTTGGGAACCGCGCTATTCTACTAGTCAAAACACTCGGAGAGAAGAAGGAAGAGAGAAGCTAAAGTCTGCTTTCAGAACCGTGCAGTTCTAGTCGTCTTTCTTAGGGTTACTGGGGACCCAAAGCCACCTGAAACTGTACAGTTCATAGCCTCAGAGATTAATCATGTACAATTCACCTACTTCCTCCACTAAACCCAACTCATTGCAAACACAACAGACACTCGTAGGCGACTAACTCTGAGACTATATGATAATGAGGTCCCCCTTGATCTTACCCAGAGCCTCTTCTTCCATCTCCGACGCCGTCACGGTCACCGTAACGCTTCCATCGTTGCACGCGATCGTGGCGTTGAGGACCTCCGCCTTGTGGTCCTCGAAAACTTGCAGAACTTTCATGACCATGCCGGGCCGTGCCGCGAAGCTTATCGCGAAGAACGCGGTATTGGCCGACGTGGACACCTCCACCGTCGAGCTCCGTTGGCTGTGCAGCGTGGCCGGTCCGCTCGATGCTTCCCTCGCCGCCTTCTGCGCCTCGAGCGCTCCGATGACTTCTTCGAGGCCTTTGATGTACGCTATTGCTTCGTCGACGATCCTCGTCCTCGTCGCCTGCACAACTTGTTGGATCTGCTTTAGCAGGTGTTACGTCGAGAGAATCCATGAACTCCTCACACAAAGAGTGCTGACCTTGGGGAAAAGATTTGGAACCATCGACTGCAGCATGGTGTAGAACTCGGTCATCTTCTCCCTCCGGCTCCGCTCCATGTGGATCACATCCTTCTTGCTGCTCCTCGACGACGTCGACGCCTTCCCTTGACCAGTAGAGCCGGCCTCCGGCATCTCATCGGTCGAAGGGCAAGCACTGCATGCAGTCGTCTTTATGGAGATCACGACCTTCTTCTCCGGCCGTAGCTGCCTCGACCCTCTTATAACTCCACGATCTATTCAGTTGCAGCAGTGGTTGGAGGAGGTTAATATGGAAAGGAAGGGGCAAGTATATGACATGTTATGGTCCTTCTCGGTTGGAGAAGGGTGATGATGAAGGGGTCAGAGTTTGCGTTACCTGATGAGGAAACCTGGTCAGATCTCCATCGACATGTCTGCCAAAGAAGGCCAGGGGATTGTGCTGGGACTGGAAGATCCCATCATTAGCCTGCTTCGATTCTTCATGCAATGATTGTTTCCTTATCATCCTAAGACTGTGAGGAGCTAGGAGAAGCACATGCTTATAAGTGGGTGTGACCTTGTTCTTGCATATGTCGACGATAAAGTGGTTGGGATCTCACAATGGCTGGATTTGATGACCTTAACTCGCAAGCAAGTTTTGTATGAAATGATATGAATCTTCTTCTTCCATTTCCTGATGACGTTCCGATTGCAATGTAAACGATGTGGTTCATATCCTTGAAGAAGATTGAACAAAGAGCTTGATCGACCATCCTTATTATACCATTTTATTCGTTAGTCCACCATGATTCATAGGTAACTTGATGTTTACGATGCTTATCTTCATGTTGTAACTATCATGTGGTGCATTAAGGATTGGATTGGTGTCTTTTTTATCCTAATCTTTATGAAACACTAGTCTGCTTGAATATTACAGTTGGGAATATGTTCAAACCCGACCCCGAAGCTGTGTATTAAGAAGACATATGTACCTATGTATACATAATGCCTCTATAATATTCTTTCGATGATCGTATGATCAAATTTCAAGATGATACATATTTTGTATATGTTAGCTTGAACGGAAACAATTGAATGATATGAAAATCAAGAATGAAAGATCTTTTGTATTATAAGAATTTGTATAGAGAATAGTATAAATCCCGCAACCATGATAGATGATGAATGGAAGAAGTTAGATCGAAAAATAATTGAGTTTATTTGACAATGGCTCGATGACAATATTTTTCATCATGTTTCCATTGAAAATTCTGCACACTCTCTTTAGAAAAAGATAAAAAGGTCTTTACGAGAGAAAAAGTGTTGATAACAAGGCTTTCTTAATCAGAAAACTTGTGAACCTGAAATATAAAGAGGGCACTTCTATTATCGAGCATTTGAATGAAATGCAAAGTATCACTAACTAGTTATTATTTATGAAAATGTCTCTTGATGGTGAGTTGCAAGTATTGGCACTTCTTAGTTTATTGTCATAAAGTTAGGAGACACTAGTGGTTTCCCTCAGTAATTCTGTGCTAGACTGTGTTGTCACCATGAGCCAAGTAACAAGTAGTTCGTTGAATGAAGAGTTGAGGGGAAAAAATTCAATAATATTTCAGATTGATTCATAGGCACTTGTCTCAGAGAATATAGGAAGGTCAAAATCTAAGGATAGAAGTGGTTCATACATACGAAGAAGTAAGTCAAGATTAAGAAAATATATTGTTTGCTATAATTGTGATGAGAAAGGAAATTACAAGAATCAATACAAGCAACTTAAGAAGAGCAAGAAAACAAGAAAATAAGTGGAGCCTATGAAGTCAAAAGAGAATACCATAGTTATAGTGCATGATGGTAACTATTTGATTTTGTCTACTTCTAATGATATTTTTTCTTATACGTGTTAAGATCTTAAGTAGGTGATTGACATAGGTGTTTCTTACCATGCTACACCACGGAGGGAGTTCTTTGCTACCTATAGATCTAAAAGTTATGGTGTTGTCAAGATGGGCAATTATGGTATGACATACATTATCAGCATGGGTGATATTCATATAAAGACCAACCTTAATTACAAATTGATACTTAAGGATGTGAGACATATAGTTGACTTGAGATTAAATTTAATTACAGTTCGAAGTTTAGTTGATGAAGACTTTAATAGTAGATTTCACAAAGGGCAATGAAAGCTCAATAAGAGTTCTCTTTTTATAGCTAGTGGAAAGAAAATATAACACTTTGTATAAGTTATAGGCTAAAGTTTATAGTGAGTGTTGAAAAATCTAGGGGCGATATCACATGCGCAGCGGAAGAACATAAAACAAAAATTCTAAATTTTTCAAAAGGTATTCATTGTCGTATGAAGATTGGTGCACAAATACCCGCAAAACTGAAAACCATGTGAGAGATAGTTGTATTACCTAGGGAAATTGTATATCCCTGAATTCCTACATATCTATTAGAGAGGATGAAGGAGATCAAGCATCCTCCTCTCTAGCAATGATCCACACAACAGGGGTTATGCTGATGCTCCTCAAATCGCTGCCCAAATCTCCATACCTATTAGCTGAGAAGGAGAAGATGAAAGGAGAATAGGAGGTGGCAACTAAGAAGCCTAGCCTATGACCCTTTGGTTCTCTCCTATTTATAGAGCTCCTCTATCAACTTAATCCTAATGGATCTTACCCTATTGGGCATTGGATCTCTATCTAATTATCCAAGCCTATTAGATTATTGGATCTCTACCCAATAATCTCTTATTAGCTCTTATTGGATCTCATCTATAGGATCTAATAATTCATGAGCTTAATGAATATCCAATAATATAGGGGCTTTGGCGGATATCTCATATCCAAACCTCTACTCATTGCAACACCTATCATATGTGTGTGACCCTCTAGGCCCAATATCTAGTTGGCCATGAGTTATATCTGTTAGAACTCTTTCTAGCTCAGTGAATTATTTTCTACGTAATAATTTACTTGACTCATCGATTACGAACGTACTAGGCTATTACACCACTATCCCTATATGATACAAGAGAATTCAATTATTTGGACCTATTTGTCCTCAATTATCGTGTACCTATAGTCCCTCATCTATTTAATGTCCTAAAGACTATATACCGGACATAATGTTGTTAGACCCATACGGTTTCTCTTCAAGTCTCGCTCTAATCAGATTCTCCTAGGAAACTCTTTCTCTCTCAATCTGAATGACCTTAGCCAATGATTTATCTAAGCAAGAACACATGAGATATTCCTCTCATGATACCAAGAGTAGATGATCCTCTATCAACACTCAATAGCCCTCGTAAGGTTGGTTGTCACTCCCAATAATCAGCTATACTGGATTTGGAACTTCCAAACATATAAGTCTGGTATTAAAGAGTGGAGTACTCATACAAGACATCCTTGGTGTCTCAAGTCTAAGGACCAGGAACACCACTGAAGCGATGAAATCGCTGTCTAACAATGATTATTATCACCCATTCGATATTCCGTGAGCGGATCAATCGGTGAACTTATTTTCCAATGAGCACTTGCACTGTAGCCCTAGTGTCCCCACACGAGTAGTTTTGAGATCAACTGCCTCCATCATATGAATGGGTATGCAACTCACCAGTCTATTCGGTTATCTCGATGTTTCTCTCAAGTAACCTATGACTAGGATTATTTAGAGTTTATGTGTAGAGGTGAATCGATCTCATTATCATGATCTCATCATGACCCGACTCTCATTATATAGATCTATAGACATCATAATATATTTATACATTAAGTAATATAAAGTGAGAAAATATACCATAATAATAATAAAGAGTGCATGTCATGTCACATGTGCCATCACTCACATGATTGGCTTGCAGGACAACTATGACCAGTAGTGAGCAGTTGAATACTACAAAGAAAGACTTAAGCATGTAATTATCGTATAAGCAATTGAGACACATGAGTAAGAAGGGGCTACAAGTTTTTTTCCAAGAGAGAAGTCTGTTAGGATCAGGAGCACTAAGAGGGGGGGGGGGGGGGTGAATTAGTGCAGCGAAAAACTTTCGACGATTAAAGCTGCATTCGTACGATAAAAGTGATTTCGATAGAAAACCCGATTCGTAAATCACTTTAACTTGTGATCAAGCGAGATGCAGTTAAAGCGAATCTATAAAGGTAGTTTGCAGTTATGATGAAAATCAGAATGTAAGCGCAAACTGAAATATGATGTTCGTACGATAAAACTGATTTACGTCTAAGCACCGATTCGGAAAATATTGAACTTTGAAACACGATCGTAAATGCGTAGAAGGCAATAAGCTATTGAGGAGATTTGCAGTAAAGATAATATGCTCAAAGTAAATGCAAACCAGAGAGCACCACAATTTTAGAGTGGTTCGGTCAATCTTGACCCACATTCACTTCTGGCTTCCTCCACCGACGAGGTCACCGATGTCCAATAGAGGCCTTCCTTCAATAGGCGAAGGCCAACCACCCTTTTATAGTTTCACTCCTTTTGACGGGCTTAGGAGACAACCCTTACAAACTTTTCTCTCCTCTCTTGAAAGATCAAAACTTGAAAGAAAAGAGGGAGGAGAACTTCTAGACTTTACAACACTTTTGAGCTCTAAAATCACATAGTAAGATCAAGCTTTGGTGCCTTTGGGTTACCCTTTCATTGCTGAAAGGGTGGGGTATTTATAAGGCCCCAACCCAACTTGAATTTCGAGCTCAAAACTGTCATCTCCCAGAATTCCGGGGTCTAGCGGTTGCATCGCCTGGCAGAGCTCGAAGACTGAGCCTTTGGGCTGTGCCACCTCCTGTCAGGGGTGGTTGCACCTCCTGCCAGAGCTCGGAGACTGAGCCCAGGCGGTGCCACCGCCTGACTAGGGCGGTTGCACCGCCCAACTAGAGCTCGGAGACCGAGCTCAGGCGGTTGCACCTATGTCAGAGGCGGTTGCATCGCCCAGCCAGAGCTCGGAGACTGAGCCCTGGGCGGTGCCACCGCCGACCAAGGCGGTGCCACCTCTGGCCAAGAAATCTGGGTCCGAATGGGTTGATCCATTCGGCCCAATTTGAGTCTATCAAGGGCCCAATTGCCCCAAGATTAAGTTAATGGGATCACCTCCCATTTCTAACTTAATCATCGTGCTAACTATGAATTTCTTAAGACATTTACTGCAACTTGCTCCGGTGCGTTAATCGCTTCTTCCGGCGAGCTTCCGGCGAACATCCGACG